CCCCAGGCCAACCGTGAGGCCCCGACTCTGCGTTTCACGTCAGCCCGCCACGAGGTCCCCGACAGGGGCGCCAGCACCCAGGCCCTGCTGGAGGGCTTCAAGCCCGAGGGGGACATGGAGGCCGAGGTGGCGGCGCTGCTGCAGGAGGCGGGCGCGGCGGGCAGCAGGGCCATGGCGGAGGCGGAGCGGGCGCTGGCCGAGCAGGTGGGGCTTTGCGGGGCGGGTTTGTGGGGGACGGGGAGCACCTGCTTTTTTGAAACGGCCGGCTTGAGGGGCGGTGACCTGGCCACGCGGAGGGCATTGCGTTGTCGTGAGCTACTGCTTGCGGCGCCCAGGCGCCCCCGTCAATCGCAACAGGTTCGGCTTGCAACCAGGCCTGCCTTGCAGGGACCTCTGCCACCACCTTCTGGCCTCCCCTCCCCCCACACACACATGTGTCAGCATGCACTCTATCCTCCGACACGCCTGCATCTCGACCCCTCTGATTTCCCAAGTTTTATCATATTCCCCCCGTCCATATCCCCCCCGGCCACCAAACTCCTCCGCTGCCCTGCCAGACGCTGACCCCTGAGGAGGCCAAGGAGCGCGCCGCGCGCCTGGCCAAGATGCGCAACGTCCTCTTCTACGCCGAGCTCAAGGCCAAGAGGTGCGTGCATTCATGGATGCGTGTGCACTTTCATGGGTTGTGACGCGTGTTTGTGTGCGTGGTGTGTGTCTGTGTGTGTATGTGTGTATGTGTCTGTGTTTGTCGGTTTGTGTGTCACAATTCGTGTGATATCGCGCCGCTGCCATGTCCCTGAGTTGCGTGGCCGGGCATCGACAGGCGTGGGTCCGGCCTTGGCGGACGAACTCACCAGTGCCGCACTGCGCGTTGGTTCATCTGCTCGTCGCCGTTGAGCTACTTTTTTGTAAGCCATAGTCAGCAAGCGGCCGAGCGGCGACAGTGCGTCCATCTCAACGGCCCACATCCACCCAACCAACCATAATCACCACAATCACACCGCAACGACATCCATAACACCCGCCGACACCACTAAACATCCACGCACCGGCGATCACCTCGATAACCACCTGCAGCAGCACCACCACCACAACATCAGCGGCAATTTCATTCACTCCACCACATTTTCACCAAACAACACAGGCTATCCAAGATCAAGTCGAAGGAGTATCACCGCCGCACCAACAAGGCCGCCAAGCGCGCCGCCGCCCGCGCCCTCGCCGCCGGCGGCGCCCCCGACGGC